CTCTGACATTTTGGGAAATAATTTGGAAAATAATTTTAATAATTCAATTTGATAAAAGCTGAATTTAAATATATGTAGCTCCTTTTTTGAGATTTTTTACATTTGATTAACATTCTTTTGTATAGGAGTTAAAGTTCCTCGTAATTTTCGCTTGTTGGAAGAACTTGAAGAAGGACAAAAAGGAGTAGGCGATGGTACAGTTAGCTGGGGCCTTGAAGATGATGAAGATATGACACTTACCAGGTGGACAGGCATGATTATTGGGCCACCAAGGGTTAGTGCTATACATGTTATCTATTAATATGTATTGTAATTTTAGAGTAAGTAATTTATTTTGCATTATTAAATTTTAAATAATCATACTAACAAATAATTCTTTTTATTTCTTTTGTGTATTTTTATTGATGTTTTATGTGCATAGGGTATAGTATTTGATTTTATCTGAGGGAAAAGAGTGATAGGATGGTGTCTCAACTTTTACATATATACAAAATGACAGATTTTAATTATGACAGAAAATGTTCACTATAGGGCTTTTTAATTATGTTTCTTCTAGTTGAGATAATTGAGGAAGACTCAACAGTGGAGGAAGCTTGTAGGTGGTAATGGGATGGAGAACATTCTGGATAAGAGAAAGGTGAAATGAAGGGAATATTTGGGATGAGCAAGCAGTCTGATATAGTATGTTAATAGACCTCTTGTATGTAGCTGATATTGCTAAGTGAATTTTATGCATATTTCAGTTTACTCTGACATTTGACATGCTGTGTAAATGCTATGGCCTCAATTTCTTCATTTATAATACAAATGGAAAAGTTGTGATTTTTATATATTGTCTAGTATTCCTGTTGGCAATAGACCCCATTGTACATTATTCTTAGGCCTTTATCGAATTTATGAAATTTTTAAACAAATTTTTTTCGAGAGATTTTTTTTCCCTCAATTAATTCATTTTTTAATGGCTCCAACTGCTGTACTCTTTGCAATTACTCTTTAAAATGTCCCATGTGTACTGATGCTGACTTGCTGAAAAGAACATACATTTGGAATTTTTTTTTCAGTCTTTCCTTTTGTCACTGGTTGCTACCTTGTCATGAGAGCATTTCAACTGTTGGGTAGAGTTTAATTTCCTCTTGATTGTTATAAAGATTGACTCCTTACTGACTGGGATTGCCAGAAGAACAACATAGGCCAGCTGCTGTTGCTGGTATCACTGGACTGCAGGTTGCTCCTGTACCTAGGTACCGACTGCTCTACTGATCGTGGTTTCTCTTTTTGATTGCATGTGGAGCTTTGGGGCAGATGAAGGAAGTTCCAGCCGTTTGCCCAAATGACCTT